TTATTTGTTTTTGGAGGCAGAAAAGGTGCAAACCCACCTCTCACTTGCGGAGAGCCAAGAGCTCTGCTGCTCAGGTCAGAGGTGGGAGGGAACAGCCCTGCTGGGAGAACTGAGCCAATTCTAGGTCAAGTTGGAACCCAAATGGTTTTCAGTGGTCAGGAGAAACAGAGCTTCAGCACATCAGCTTGAAACAAAGGCACAGGTCAAACAAAGGCTGTGGGAAGGGGCTGAGCTGAAGGACCCTCACTACAGAAGAGGGGTTGGGGAGCACAAACACATCATGACACACACACCTGCTGGGAAAGTTCACCCATAACACTGAGCAGAAGCTGGTGGACTCCTCTGCAGGGGTGTAGGCATGAGGGTCCTACCCTGGGGCAGTTCTTCAAGCATTTGCTGAAGTTCACAATTTGCTGCATTCAGCCTCAGGAAGGCAGAAGAGAAAGCCCTGGAGCCAGGCTGGGAGAGTTGGGGTGTTGAGCCTAGAGAAGAGAAGGCTCCAGGGAGACCTTAGAGCAGCTTCCAGTGCCTGAAGGGGCTCCAGGAAAGCTGGGGAGGGACTTGGGACAAGGGCAGGGAGGGATGGGATGAGGGGGATGGATGAAAACTGGGAGAGGGAGCTGGAGGTTGGAGATGAGGAGGGAATTCTTTGGTGTGAGGGTGGTGAGAGCCTGGCCCAGGTTGCCCAGGGAAGCTGTGGCTGCCCCATCCCTGGGGGTGTTGAAGGGCAGGTTGGATGGGGCTTGGAGCAGCCTGGGCTGGTGGGAGGTGTCCCTGCCCATGCAGGGGGCTGGATCTGGATGATCCTTCCACCTCAGACCATTCCATGATACTCTCAAAGCCCTTCAGATCCTGGCTTTGCTGAGAACAAAAACCAAACCCTGAGGATTTCTATGACAAGCCTTGAGGTTCTTAACCAACCCACACATCTGACCAGGTTTACAAATGCTGTGAACAGGGTGGTTAAACTGGGAGATCAGCTTGGACTGATGTTGGACAAATCCCCCTGGAACTGCTGAGCTCCCCCAGCCCATTCTTTGACAGATCCCAAAGCTGCAAGGCCTTGAGAAGGCCTCTCTGCCTTCAGCATCTCTGGCCACAAACTTCTCCTCTCACCAGCAGCAAAATGCATTTCATCCCACTCTGCTTTCTCAACCAGAGCAGGGGTTGGGAGGAGGAGTTCACAAGTAGTGCCTATAGAAAAAATCACTTTGAAGAACATGGAAACAACATGGAGATTTGGTTCCTTTCCTAACATCAATCCTGCTGTCAACCCCAGAGCCTAAGTTACATTCAGGAGTCAAACCCTGGCACTGGGACAACAATGAACTAAGTTGTTTTCTTTCAAGCAAGAGCCATCTGCAAATCATTTCACCTCCCACCACTGTGCAGAAGCAGAGGATCAGCTCAAGCTGGAGGTTTGTGGGGAGTGGGACTGGAGGGGAAGTGGGAATGGGGCAGTTGCAGCCACCCCTGCTGGTCCCAGCCCATCCCCAGGCTGTGGAGATGGGATTTGCAAAGGATTTGCTCTTGGGAAAAGGGTGTTTAGAGAGCAGGGAGAGCAAAGCTTGGGGAAAAAAAAAGCATTTCTGAAGTTTCACATTCACACTGAGAGGGTTTAGCTCAAATGACCCAGCCAGGGGTGAACTCTCCCCTCCCCAAGAGGGGCTGTGTGAGCAGGAGGTGTGTGGGGCAGAGCAGAGGGCAGGGCTGCCCTCCTGGCCCAGCTACTGGGTTGGCATCCCAGTCCCCCCAGCATGGAGCAAAGATGGAGTTCCCAGCTCAGAACTGGGAGGTTTCCCTCCCCAGCAAAGTGCTGGGCACGTGTGATGGAACACAAAGCACCAAGAGCTTTTTTAACTGTGCTAACCCAAACTGCCCAGCTGACTGGATCCCACAAGTCTCCTCCCTCCAATAAAACAACATCTCCTCTTCTTCCAACCTGGGATCATATTCAGGGTATTTTCCCCCAACTTTCTGGGGTGCAGGAGGCCAAGAGGCTGTTCCTGACAAGGAGAGAAGGTGAGGGAGGGATCAGGACACTGAGGGTACTTGATCCATCTGGCTGAGCAGGAGAGATCTCCAAGCCTGGAATTTGTCACCACTACATATTCCCAACTCCAGCTTCCCCTGAATGGGATTTTCAACATTGCTGAACAACTGGGGCCTCAGTTTTTCCATCTCTTCTTGCACTATTGCAAGAGACAGCCCAGTTACCAGGCACCTCTTCATTTAAGGCAGATGGCTCCAGCTGCTGAAGTTCATGCTTTTTTTGGAAACACCACAACTGAGAAGCAGGAGAACAACAAAATAAAGCTACTTAATCTTCCTAGAGGTGATTTATTCTGCCCCTCCTGCTCTGGTGCAGAGGATGGGAAACTCAGAGCTGATTTTGAGGGAGAATTGCTGCCTTGAGGGGAGCAAATCCACCTCAAACTGGTGTCCGTGGCAAAACACTGGACCAACTGGTAGCAATTACCAGTCCCCTGCTCATCTCCCTGGGGAGCCTGGCAAGAAAATTCCACTTGGGGGTGATTTATTTTGTTTTCTTTGTGCTGCTCTGGGGCCTGATGCTGTTCCAGCCCCAAGGGGACCTCTTCAGTCTGATCAGCATCTTGCTAAGGAAAGAACTGAAAGGTGGCCAGGCCAGTTCCAGAGGGAACTTTCAGAAATAGCCATCCCAGGCCAAAAGGAGCAGGCAGGAAAACCACAACTCCTGGCTGGAGACTTTAGTCCTTCCCCTTCACCAGTCCAGGCTTCCCCACTCCCCAGGTCACAGAGCAGGAAAGAAATGAGGTGGAATTTCACTTCAACTTCTCCTGCATCTGCTCCAGGGGGTGATTTCTAGGGAACAGTGTGGGAAGCAGCAAGTTTGTGCTGAAGGCTGGTGGCAAAGAGCAAGCTGAAGCCATGACAACAAGGAAGACCAGAGCTCCTGGCTTTCAGGAACTGAAGCTGGAACTGCTCAGCCTGCAGCTCTGAAGGACACAACCTTCTCCCTGTGGATCACTCTTTTCTTCCCTCATTTTCCAGCCATCTACAATGACAGGAATTAAAAACACCCCCACTGAAATCACCACTGCATCCTTCTCCAAGCACTGCCTGAGAGGCCCAGCCAGCAGCAGGGATGCACCCCAGGCATTTTGAGCTCAGTGCCCAGCTCAGAGTGCCCCTTTTGATCCCAAAATTCCTCGTGGGAGCTTCCAGATCCAACCAGCCCTGATCCTGCAGCTGCCTTCCTGCAGAGGGACGGGGCAAGTGGGTGGGTTAGTGAGCACTGTGGCCACTTCCAGCCATCCCCTGCACATCAAACAGAACCTAAACCTTCACAGGGGAAGGGAAGAAGCTGGAAACAAAGATTCCTTGGGCTCAGTGTCCACATCTCCTGCCCCAGGACCTACCAAACACCACAAGTGCCACCGCACCAGCTCTGCAGCCAGACAGAGATCAAACAGCTCCCCTTGTCTGCCCAGGGAAATGCTTGACATTCCAAATATTGACACCGAGGGAAAACCTGAGCTGAAGGAATGAAGCAGTGGGAGGTTTTTCTCCCCCCCAAGGTCTCCAGTGTCATCTGACAAGTTACACCTCAGAACAAGCCCCCCAGTGTTCCAAGAACCCCCATCCCGGTGCCTCACACAAAAGCCTGGCTCTTACTTGTAGACATTGGTGTTGTATTTCCTCTCACTGGGGAACCCAAACATGCCACAGACCACACGGGAATTTTTCATGGTCCAGTGCTTGTCACAGATCTGCTTCCAGGTGCCTTCATCCTTCACCTCCACGTAGCCCTCGGTGACCGGGACGCGCTTGCGGTAGGTGGCCAGGATGGCCCTGATCCTGATGTCCTCCACCTGGATGTTCATGTTCTGGAAACAAAGGGAAATAAACCACCAGGGAGGTTAGTTTGGGAGGGAACTGGGGGTGCAGCTTCAAACTGGGGAAGGGAAAGTTGTGTTCAGGGCTGAGCAGAGGGAGGCAGGAGAGGAGGGAAGGGAAACACACACCGGGGGAGCAGGAAACCTCCCCAGCTTGTGTGGAATAGAATCCCAGGCTGGTTTGGGTGGGAAGGGAGCTGAAAGCTCATCCAGATCCAACCCCCTGCATGGGCAGGGACACCTCCCACCAGCCCAGGCTGCTCCAAGCCCCATCCAACCTGCCCTTCAACACCCCCAGGGATGGGGCAGCCACAGCTTCCCTGGGCAACCTGGGCCAGGCTCTCACCACCCTCACACCAAAGAATTCCCTCCTCATCTCCAACCTCCATCTCCCTCCCCCACTTTTCATCCATCCCCCTCATCCCATCCCTCCCTGCCCTTGTCCCAAGTCCCTCCCCAGCTTTCCTGGAGCCCCTTCAGGCACTGGAAGCTGCTCTAAGGTCTCCCTGGAGCCTTCTCTTCTCCAGGCTCAACACCCCAACTCTCTCCATCCTTCAAAACAAGGATGCTTTTTCTCATTAAAAACCCCACATTATTGCACAAATTGCTCCCTAACAAAACTCCTTTGATCCTGAAATCAACTGAAGTGCTTGTTTCAGACCTTCACTTGGTCTCAGCCACCAGAGAAGTGAACCAAGCTCAGCCCTGTGAGGACCAGGTTCATCCTGGCAGGGTGCAGGGAAGTGGGAGCCTTGGCAGGGCAGGATTTGGGACCCCCAAAGCCCCTGGGCATCCTTTCCTCACCCAGCCTTTCAAAGCTGAGATCCCAAAGTGCTGACACTGGCATTTCCCCTGCTTCCCCAAGCCAGGCTTCTCCTCCTGCCTGGGACAGCAAATGAGTCATGAAGCTTGGATGGGTTTCCCATTTTGAGGCCACTGCCCAAACCAACCTTGCAGGGACCCAAAAGACTGGCTGGAAAATATCTGCTGTGGCAAGTGATGACAAAAGAGCTACTGAAAATGTTCACCCTTGCTTCCAGGAGAGCTTTGCTCATCAGAAATATGTAGGAACTCCACGTGGTTCTGCAGGGAGTTACATCAGAGCTGAGGAATCCTCCCCTCCCTTCACTTGGATTTGATCCCCTGGAATGCTCAGGGCTCAGAGACACTGGGCCTGAGGTTCCCAGGCAGGTATTGAGGTCAGGGAAGATCAGGGCAGGACTTGCAGAGTCCTGCACGTTCCACGTGGCACATCCACTCTCCAGCTGCTTCACTGATGCAACCACCAGCTCCTGGGCAAGTGGAAACCAAGTGCAGAGCAGGAGCTGCTGGGGATGGGAAAGGGGCAGGAACCTCCTCCTCACCCCCAGCCCTGCCTGCATCCCCTGGGCAAGTCACTTCATGCTTTTCCCTCCACCTTTTCCTGATTTTGTTTGCTTTTCCCCAATTGCCTCCATTTTACCAGCCAGTTTTTACAGCCAAACCAGATCCCTGAGTCTTCCTTTCACCTTCTCCTGCAGGAATTGAGCCCCATGAGATACCCCCTTGGAAAACAGGACCTTCTCATTTCCCCAGGAGGACAGAGCTGCTCAGACAGGCTTCCCAGTGAAATGCTCTTGTAGCCCTCAAGAATTAAAAAACCCACCATAATACCCCAGTTTGGTACATCTGAGCCACTTCCAGGTGCTCAAACCAAGGGTCTGAAGCCAAAGGAAACTGGGTAGCCTGGGAAGTCCATCTCCAACACCAAGTCTCTCCTGAATTTGGCAGATTCACTTCAAATATTATTGCACAGCATTTCAGCAGGTGCTGGCAGGGAAGCAGCAGGACCTTTGCACCCCTGGGCTGGTTCCCAAAAGCTCCCAACCTCCCTTTTCCCCTTGGTGCAGTTGATGAAATGTTTCCAGCTCTTCACTGGGTGCAGAAAGCCTGAGACAGCACCTTGTTGCTCTGCACCCTCCAGCTTTCTCCAGCAGGAAGCAAGAGGCAAGCAAAGCCTGAAATCCAGCTGGGAATTGCTTTGGCTGCTGAGGAAGGGCTGGAGCAGCTCTGGGGCCAGGCTGGGAGAGCTGGGGTGTTCAGCCTGGAGGAGAGAAGGCTCCAGGGAGACCTTAGAGCAGCTTCCAGTGCCTGAAGGGGCTCCAGGAAAGCTGGGGAGGGGCTTGGGACAAGGGCAGGGAGGGATGGGATGAGGGGGATGGATGAAAACTGGGAGAGGGAGATGGAGGTTGGAGCTGAGGAGGGAATTCTTTGGTGTGAGGGTGGTGAGAGCCTGGCCCAGGTTGCCCAGGGAAGCTGTGGCTGCCCCATCCCTGGGGGAGTTGAAGGGCAGGTTGGATGGGGCTTGGAGCAGCCTGGGCTGGTGGGAGGTGTCCCTGCCCATGCAGGGGGCTGGATCTGGATGAGCTTTCAGGTCCCTTCCCACACAAACCATTCCATGACATGAAGACCTTAGTGTTTTTAAATAAAAGCCTCTTCACAAGAATGACCCCAAAGGCCAGGAAGCTGAAGCTTAAAGCTACAGTGGAAAAGCAGATGAGAAGCTCCTGAGTGAGGGGGAAATCTGCAGTGACAGCTGAGGAGGGGGGTGAGTCCCACGTGGCTGCAGGAGGTCCCTGATCTCAAACCCTCAGTGCATTTGCTGCACGTGGTTGTGTCAGTCCCAGCCCTGCTGTGTGAGAAACCAACTGAAAAGGGACATTTTCCCCATGCCCAGACCTGCCATCAGCAAGATGCTCCAAACCCAGCCCTGGGTTTCCTCTGACACCCCCTTCCAGGGTGCCTGGGGTTGGAGAAGCTTGAACCTCAGCTCCTCGGGGAGGAGGAACCAGGTTGGGAACCAAGGTGGGATGTCACACTCAGGAATGGCTGTTCCATGGGGCAGCTGCACTGCAGGAGTTGCTGGCCCCACCTGAGAGGGGCACAGGGCCATTCCAGCTGGGAACCAGCTCCTGGTGGCAGAGGAGCAGCAGGATGGTTGTTCCCACCTTGTCCCTGTTGCTCCCACCTTGTCCCTGTTGCTCCTTCCCCCCCCTGCACCCACCAGGGCTTCACCTCCCACAGATGCTGAGAAGCCTCCAAGATCAGCAGGACACTCCAAGGATGGGAGAACCAACCATTCCCAGATGGAGAACCAAGGTGCAGGGACACCAAACCACTTCTCCAGAGCCCCCAAGGGCAGGGAACCACAGCCAAGGTCCCAACCCCACACCAAGACTCCTCCTCCAGCAGGGACCACCAGCTGGACCCCCAGCCTTGAAGCACGTTCTGACCAAGCCCATGTGAGGGGTTTTTTTGCCTTTCCCACCCCAGCAGCCTGGCAGGAGCTGTGACACACACTCCCAGAGACATCCTGAGCAAAGAGCACCAGGACAGGGCAAGCAATTCCCTCCTGCTCTTCTCCTGCAGCTTCCAAGCAGCTCATCTCAAGACTCTTCAAGCCAGAAGGAAAAGTTGAATATTCCAACCCCCTGGAGAGGTTTGAAAATCCCTTACCAGGATTTTATGGGACCAGAAAACCCTTTACTAGGATTTCATGGGACCAGAGCAACAGGCAAAGAAAGAAACCAGCCCAGTGAGTCAGGGAAGGGGAGAGAAAAGACACAAGGAAATAATAATTGAGAGGAAATAAGAACTCCTAAAAAAAAGGGGAAAGCCTGGGAATGCTGAGAAGCACCTGCCTTCTGATTTGCCTGTTGTTTTTGCTGTAAGTTCAGGAGCTTAGCAACTCAAAATGAGTTGCTGCATCAGTTTCCAGCAGAGCTCTGAGCACTGCAGGGCTGGGGGTGCTGGTCCCTCCCCAGGACCCTGCCCAGGACCCTCCCCAGGACCCTGCCCTGCTGTGGCACCTCTGACCCAGCCCAGGACTGGAGATTCCCACATCCCCTATCCCAGGTGTGTTTGGGACAGGTCAGGGGTTGAGTTGTCCTTGCTGGTCCATTCATACATGTGAAAAACAAGATGCAAACTTGACTGGTTTGGACTCTTGGACTTGAAGCAACCCTGGCAGAGGCAGCACGAGGCTGCAGCCTCCAGCCCCAAGGTCCCAGGACACAAATCTCCTCCCCCAGAGGTGCTGACACCCACACCAAGAGAAACCCAACACTTTGGTTGTGCTGTTTGTGCCACTAATTTGCCAAGGAAGGGTGGAAAAAGACCTTAAAAATGGAGCAAACCAGCAAGAAGTGAGGCCTGATTGCAGCCCCTGGGGGGGGTTCAGCTGTAACAGCCCAGCACACTGTGACATTTTCATCATCTGCCTGAGAGCAAAACCAACCCACGTCCCTTTCTGCTCAGCCAGGAGGGTTGGGAGCAGAGAATCCTTTGCTAAAGCAGCTCCAGGGTTTGTCCTGAGCCTTCAACAAACCATCCAGGATTCAGAGGGTTGGAGACCTCAGCTCTAGGTGGGAAGATGGAAGAAACAAAGGACCCAAAGCAGGACCCTGCAGGTTTCTCCAGGAGAAAGGGCTGCTAAGAGCTTTCTCCTGGTAACATTTCCAGATTGGAATGGTTTCCTGTCACTGCTGCTCTGTGGTTGTTCAATAATGCAAACCCAGGCAGACTTTCAGCATCTCCCAGCACCAACGTGCAGAGCTGGGCTAATGGTGAAAACAGATCCCACATAAAAACCAGGAGCAAACTACACTAAATGACTGGAGCAGATGTCTGAAAATCACCCTCTGTGGTTTATACACATGGAGACAAACGCCTACAAGGTGTCACATCAGCAAGGAAAGTCAGCCTGGAGAAGAGAAGGCTCCAGGGAGACCTTAGAGCAGCTTCCAGTGCCTGAAGGGGCTCCAGGAAAGCTGGGGAGGGACTTGGGACAAGGGCAGGGAGGGATGGGATGAGGGGGATGGATGAAAAGTGGGAGAGGGAGATGGAGGTTGGAGATGAGGAGGGAATTCTTTGGTGTGAGGGTGGTGAGAGCCTGGCCCAGGTTGCCCAGGGAAGCTGTGGCTGCCCCATCCCTGGGGGTGTTGAAGGGCAGG